ATTATGTATGCAATTCTCTTAATAAAGGTTCTTGGCAAGGCTGCCAAAGATTAAAAAAAAAAAAAAAAAAAAAAAAAGATTATAATAAATGATACAAAAACAAAGTGGCTAAAAAACTTGTTGCTAATTAATTTAGTTAAATTGTAAATAAATTAACCTGCTATGATGACAGTTATATCTAAAAAGTACAAAAATAGATAGTTATATATACAGTATATACAAAATAAAAAACAAACAAAAATACTTATTTACAATTATTATTTATTCTTCAAATAGTCTATAAATATAAAGAAAATTTATTAAATTAACCAATAAAATTAAAAACATAAATAAAATAAATAGTTATTAATAAACTAAATACTTATTTATTTATAATTAATTATTATTTCATTTATTTATTAATTTATTAGTAAGTATAATTTTTAAAAACATAATAAATTTTAAAATAAATAATAAATATATAATATTAATTAGAGATGTGATGACTTAGTGAAATGATCAGGTTGTTAATCTTCCAAGTAATAAATTAGATATTCAAATCCTATTAATAGTAAAAAAATTAAATAATTACTTATGTAATATTTATATTATAATAACTGTTACTAATTATTGAGTAAGATACTTATAATAACAATCACACTAATATAACTAACAGGTCATAAAACATCTATGCAATGTTAAAGTTATATGAAAAATGCAAACTAACAAATTAGATAATATAAATATTAGATAAATTTTTGTAACTATATAAATCTGTTAAAATTAGATAACAAAAAGTCCATTTGAGAAAACTTGAATAAAAAGATAACTGAATCTTTAAAACTTTACTATAAAGGCTAACCTAAAAAAACAGATACCAAAATCATAGTAATTAGTTATAATAATCAAATGAGCAAAAAAGAACCTTTAAGTTAAGAATCTTAAAGATACTATCAACCAAACCACTAAAACAAACTAATAAAAAAGAATTTCAAACTAATCTAATATACTAATAAACTGATCATAATCTTATATAGACTATTTAAATTAAAAGTTTGATAAAAAAACAAATGAAAAAACAAAAATATATTAAAATATTAGAATTATACTATAAAGTATATACTAAGATCTATGTAAACTTTACAAAAATATAATAATTAAATAATAGAATTTTAACTACAAAAATTGATTCTATTATAATAATATCTAAATCAATCATAAAAATGAGTACAAAAATTCTAGAAAATTTACCTTAAAAATAAATTAGTCCTAAAGTTAAAACAATAATCTGAGTATTTAAATATAACTCAGTGAGTTAACACTAATTATAGGTTCAAAAGGTTTAAAATGAAACATCCAAATAGGAATGTTAGATACAACAATTGGTAGGAAACCTTTAGGCAAACTCTTTAAATAGATAATATAGAAAAGTTACATATATAGCAAATTATATTCTCTTCTGTAGTGGTTCATAAAATCATATTATCAAAAAAGTCATTAATAAAATCAGAAGACCAAAATAGTCACCTTAATACCAAAAAAAAAAAATATATATATAATATTAATTATGCATTGATTAATATTATAAAATTTGTTGATTTGTGCTGCATAGCAGTCAATCATTTGCTCTGATAGAACAAATATATTTATTAATGCATGACTCAATATTTGTGTTATTCGGCAATTCATGATCATAATTCTCAAGTCATTCTGCTAAGTTTTAATTTGAATAAACATAATTACATCATAATACAAAAAAATAACAAAAAGAAATAAACTTATGATTATAAGAGTTTGCCAGATAATTATTATACTTAACCAGCATGGTGTCTGATATATAATCAATATTCCAAGATTAAATAGCATGCACATATTGTATCAGTATTTAAAGTAAATTTTAATTTGTTTTTTTAAAAGATTGTTTTCAGTTTTAAATCTGTTAGAAAAGTAAGCTTATTACTACTGTATAAAGAGAGGAAAATTAGAAGTTGCCTCATATATCTAATTTCAAATAGTGATGTAGAAAGATGTTTTTTTTGTAATCTTTTACAAACTTGCTTACATAAACCTGTAATTAATAGGTCTTAAGTAAGTGCTTCTTAGAAAAAAGCTGTAATTTAAAACTTTATATACCTCCAAAGCTGCAAAATAACTTACCAAATATTCTGCCAGAGGGATTGAGTATGAAATGACAAGAACAATATAACCTGTCAGATTTTAAATCTACTATAAAAGAACTAACCAAATTACCTAAAATATAAACAGATACATATCAACATGATAATATAATATACATACCAAAATTTGTTAACAATGCAACCTTACATGGACCACCTTTTGACACAAGTTGCTAATTAATTGCTTTCCAATCCTCTAATTGAACCCTTATACTATCTTTTTTTTTTTAAAAAGAAGTACATTCCATTGGTTAAAATTTAAAGCATAAAAATGCAATTTCATTTGAAACACAGGTAAAATCTGACCTTTTTTTTGAACCTTTTATTGCACAGTTCAATCGAAGTTTATCTTCTTTCTGAGAATTCAAGAAAAATAGATGAGTAACAGAATGTGATACAGAACTGATGTTAATAGAAGAGTAACTGTCACAAAATTAATCAGAATGTACATCCTTTTCTGCATAGAAATTGAAAGTAAGCACATTTTGCTAGCTAAAAATTAATATATTAGAAACTCACAATTATGTTAATTATCAAAAACAATATTAGTTTTACGTTTCTTCAGCTTTACTCTATCCTATATTCAAAGAATAAGAATATTGTTATATATGTTTTTTTTTTTTTATTGTAGAACTTAATTATGATCAAATATAGTATAAGGGAACCTACTCTATACCAATTGATAAATAATCAATTATTAATGATGTCCTTATAATATATTTGATCATTTAAATATATAAATAATTATTGTATTTACCAATCTTATTGAGTTGTTACTATCATTGTTAATGTTATTCTCATTACAATTTTGGCTATATTTAATAATATTGTTGTCCACTTTAGAAAGAATAAAAAGTATTCATTTAATAAGTTCATTTGTTTGATGAGTAGTGGCAACATTCAATACTTTTAGTGCATTAATATGTATGCTAATTTGAACTTCTCTTTATTTATTATATTAATGTATTATTTATTATGAGTTAATATTTAAACAAACATATAACAACCTTTTACATGTACTTGTTTTATGTCAAGTTGTTTGTTTAAATCAAAAATTTCCCAAAACTATTGGGCTTTCTAAGTAATCTTCTGGATAATAATTTGTTATTAGTAATATATATAATACATAATACTAATACTATAAATGAGATACAATATTATTCATTCAGAGCTTTCTACATGTTGCATCAAGAAAATGATCTGTCAGAGAGACAAGAAATAGCACCTTCTATCCATAATACAAAAGTAAGCCATCTCACAAACCTTGCATTAGAGATAAAACCTTTTATTCCCACTGAGGACGGAACTCTTGGGAGCCATGCAGATGGTTTGCTTTGTTGATGATTTCAAAAAAACCTAAATGTATGTTTATTTACAGACCTTAGTAATTAAATAGAATGCAGATTTTCTTTACTCTTTGTTCATACTTTCTTTAAAAACAAGTTCTCTTGAGTAATTTAAAAAGTGGTTTTGCCATGTTACTTTCAAAGTCTTTACTGAAATGTCAATGTCAAAATATGGTTCTATGGCTTCTAAATATGACTATTGCAAGTGAAGTGTTTTGTCAAAATATTCTGATGCTAAGCAGTAACATAAATTGAGACCAGTTAAATCTAATTTAATAGAGGTTAATCAAATAATTGATATATTGCAACATGTTGTAAGTATGATGTTAAAAATTAGGCATATATGTTTTAAATACTAGAGGTTGTGATACAGAGTATGAGCATGTATACAGGATTTACTAAAATTTTCTACCATAATACAAAAATATAAAATAGTAAATATTCTATGATGCTGATAGCCTATACTCGACAATCACATGACTAAACAACAAAAGATTTTTAAAACGCATCAACTTTTTATAGAAGCAATATTTTGAAAAACTAATTGGTAATTTTGTAAAACTTATTATAAAGAACAAAGTTACTAGTTAGTTTTTTGAAATATTGCTTCTATAAAAAGTTGATGTGTTTTAAAGTTACTAAGCTTATTCAAAATTGAAACATGTTGATTAACATCTGATTGGCTAGTGCAGATCAATCAAATTAATATTCTCATATGATTGGCTGGCATAATCAATATTCTGTTAATGTAATACACTTTCAAAAAAAATGGTTTACAGATAATATATTATTCTCTTTTATATCGAAAACAATAAATAAATTTTTTTTAAACTAATCACCAGAATTTTATTGCATAAATAAATTAACTTTACCAGCATTGCATAAATTATACCAGTTGTTAAATATGAATTTTATGATATTTAAATTAATGGTAAATAATGACTACGATAAAAGTAATGGCATAAAAAAATTAGCAATTCTATTATTATCACTACTCAATTGGAATAAAATACCTTTTTTAGCATAATTTGGTTTAAAAGTCCAGACATAATGTACAATATACAATATAATAGATTTATAAAGTATCTGAGTATTTTAATCACATTGTTTAAATATAACTAAATACTAAATGTATTTCCTCTTATAATAGTACTTTCTTCTGAACATAAACAATATTTTTCTAATATAGTAGCTCAGATATAAATTAATATAATATCTCCAGAATTATTATTTTATTAAATTAAAAATAAAGTCAATCTTAGAAATCATAATTGGTTATAATTACAATCAATAATTTTTGTGCCATAATTAAGATCAATATAACAAAATATAAAGATAGTTCACTAAAAAAGATCCATAATTTATTTGTTAATACATAAATACTGTACATGTTAAAAAAAAAAGTAAATACTGTTAGACCTCCCAAAACTGATCCTATCAAATCTGATAAAAATTAGTTTACCAAATTTGTTTCTGTTCTATAAACCTAATACTATTAAACCTCCAAAAACTGACCCTGTCAAAATTGATAACCTGTTAAATCTGATAAAAATTAGTCTACAAGTCTAATATTGCTCTATAAATCTAATATTCTATAATGTTTTAAAATCTAGTAATCTTTCTATATACATTGGTTTTGAAAAGGTTAACAGTAATTGTAAAAAATGAAGCCAAACTATCTGAATTATAAAAAAGATACTAAATATTGACCAAGTATTTATAAGTACTAAATATTATATAAAGCTTCTGCATAGAATTTAGTTCAAACACCTATTTATTATATAAACTACACATTGAATTTGTTTTTTTCCTACATAATTTTAAATTATTTTGTTA